TTTTTGTTTTTTTTTTTTTTTTGGCAGCTGAAAATGATCCTGATGATGGTAAAAGAAATTGTGAAGGCCTGTGGCCTATTTTTAAAAGCCCATCAAAAAAGTCGCTATGTTTTTTACCTTTAGCACAAGAGGAAGGAAGTTTCAAAGGAGTTATATAAATTCTGCTTGGATCAGGGCTATGCAGATCTCACAAGAGGAAGGAAATTTCAAAGGAGTTATATGAATTTTGCTTGGATCAGGGATATGCAGATCGAAATTTAATTGCAAAATGGAAAAAGGTTTGTTAGTCATGTTAAAAAAATTTGTTCTTCTCATAGGAATTATGAAATCTTGCCTGAGTTTCATCTTTCTTTGTTTTGTGTATAGCGCCTGTTTGTGACAATGCAATACAGATAAGAAATGCTTCATAGGATTAAGGATCAGATAACTTTCCTCATGACCATTGGATTTGGCATTTCAAACCGTAATGTTTGTTCACTAGTATTATGCTTTCGGCTATTGTGAATTGTTTAAGAATTAAGCTACATGCAAGTATAAAACCATACCTATGTGCTCTTATTTGCGTGCACTATAGATTATAAAGTCAATTACCTTGGTTTCGGTCTGAATTGCAGCCTGGTTATGAATTGCCTCTGCTGTTTAAGGTGCATGCAGCCTCGGGATCATAACTTCCAAACTACATGTGTGTGCCGAGTCCCCAAGCATTTGCAGGAGGAGAAGGTTATCGAGTGTGTACATTGTGGTTGTACAGGTTGCGCAAGTGGAGACTGATCAGTTTTCTGGCAAAGTTGCGCTACAAGTAAACTGATGCAAAAGAGGTTTAAGATCTCTACTTAGGGAAGTAGGCTTGCTCTTGATCTTTAGAATTAATATTTGGGCTTTGCTACACGCACGTCAAAGGTTACATCATGCACAATAATCCTTAATATTTTGACTACTCTTTTCAAGCTAATGGACCGTCGAAAACTTCTAATTTCCACAGGACCTTGATGTATAATCAGCTTGAACAATTATTTCTTTATTAAACGGTGCTTTTTGACAAAGCTTTTAATAAGAGTTTTAGTAGATTTTAATAGAAGTTAATGCAACGTATAGGACCTGTTTGGGCCAGATTTTAATTTAAGTTAAAGTTAAACAATCAATATCAGTCACTTCTTTCATGGGTCCCACCCACATCTTTTCAACCACACATTTCAAAAATTTCTATCACAATCAACTTAAAATTTAATTTTAATTTACACCAAACACCCTCATAATTTAGAAAATTGATAAAAGTTGTGAGTTCTACGAATGTTTAATTAATATTGAAGTTTGACTACAAAAAACAATCATAATTTATTATCCAAGCTAGAAAATGATTAGTCAATGTTGAAGACCAACGTTCTTTAAACACCATAATAAATTACAAAAATGAATACATTTACTTGTATATTTGACGTCTTGTTAAAAAAGGATTAGAGGGAAAATTGTTTATTTTTTTAAACTGTCATGTTGCCATGTGGCAAGTGTAAAAGACAATGTACATGTAGCATGATTATAATAAATTAATAAACTATTACATCCATTCGAAAATCTTGGTTATACTAAGTCATTGTTTGACAATCATTAAATGGGAAAAAATATGTTTTGAATAGTGATTTTTACAAAAATATGTGGTTAAAAAGTAAGAAAAAAATTTGAGTTCACGTACAAAATATTTCATTGTCTGAACATGTGATTGAAAATGAGACGTAGAAAAAAGAATTCGAAAATAATGATAGTCAAACTGGGACTAAATTTGGAAAAAATTCCAATAAATTGGGAAAGAATATTACCCTAGACAGTGCATTTGATTCCACTAAATCCTCATTTGCAATCGAAGATATCACGAGCAGTGTCGAATATGAAAATTCCATAGACAGCCTAAGCTTCTAGATTTTTTTTTTTCTGACCATTTTTGTCCTCCATTCCTTTATTATAACCAAACTCAATATTTTCAGGCCAATCCATGCGCTAAACCAACGCCTTAAATCGTGCAAAGACAACTTCTCCCTCATCTTCTAGAAATAATCAACGTAAAACCCTTAAATAACGTATCGTGAACCATCATAACCCACTGTGTGTATAAATGTTCCCGCCTATGTAGAACCGGTTTTCGAAATATAGTTGGTTAAATTATCAACAATGGCAACAGCTTTAGCTGGTGATGATCTTGCACGATCAGTCAGCAGCGGGAGGAGATTGGCTGCGTCTGCCTCCGGTAATAATTGATTTTCTTCCTGTTGCAGCCTACAAAATTTGACCATTTCTCTCTGCAGTGGGACCCACAGATCTCCTCCAACGTTTTAAAAAGTGATTTTCCTACCCAATTTCTGTGCGCCCAGACAGCCTTTAAGTCGTTGTTTGACAACCATTAAATGAGAAAAAATATGTTTTGAATAGTGATTTTTACAAAAATATGTGGTTAAAAAGTAAGAAAAAAATTTGAGTTTACGTACAAAATATTTCATTGTCTGAACGTGTGATTGAAAATGAGACGTAGAAAAAAAAATTTGAAAATAATGATAGTCAAACTGAGACTAAATTTGGAAAAAATTCCAATACATTGGGAAAGAATATTACCCTAGACAGTGCATTTGATTCCACTAAATCCTCATTTGCAATCGAAGATATCACGAGCAGTGTCGAATATGAAAATTCCATAGACAGCCTAAGCTTCTAGATTTGTGTTTTTTCTGACCTTTTTTTTTCCCCTCCATTCCTTTATTATAACCAAACTCAATATTTTCAGGCCACTCCATGCGCTAAACCAACGCCTTAAATCGTGCAAAAACAACTTCTCCTTCATCTTCTAGAAATAATCAACGTAAAACCCTTAAATAACGTATCGTGAACCATCATAACCCATTGTGTGGATAAATGTTCCCGCCTATGTAGAACCGGTTTTCGAAATACAGTTGGTTAAATTATCAACAATGGCAACAGCTTTAGCTGGTGATGATCTTGCACGATCAGTCAGCAGCGGGGGGAGATTGGCTGCGTCTGCCTCCGGCAGCAGCCGCAGCTTCCGGGAGGCGTGGCAGGATCAACCTGATGTGTTCAGCCGCAGCAGACGGCAGGATGATGAGGAGGAGCTCTTGTGGACCGCCATTGAGCGGCTGCCCACGTATGATAGGCTCCGAAAAAGCGTTTTAACGCAAGTTTTGGAAAATGGGAAGGTTAAAGCAGATGAAGTTGACGTGAAGAAGCTTGGTGTGGATGAGAAGAAGCAACTGATGGATAGCATTCTTGAGGTTGTTGAGGAAGACAATGAAAGGTTTCTTAAAAGACTCAGGCAACGAACTGACAAGTACGTAATTACAACTTTCGCAATACTGAAAAAAAAGCTTCATCGGCAGTTTTTTCGATCGGAAATGACCAATTCAGATGGAGAAAAGCGGTCAGAAGTAAACATTATACAAACAAAATTAACCAAACACTTCTATTTATCCATAAATTATATTTATGTTTTCGATGAACGGAAGTCACCTAAGAAATTTCCAACGACGCATTATTCTTCATCGGAAATCTCTGACGGCCAATCCTCCGATCACCGCTAATTGTCCATTGAAAATTTCCGAAGGAAAATACAGGTCCATCAAATATTAACCCTTTTCGATGGTTTTTCTATCTGAAATCCTTAAATACCAACGGATTTTAGTTACTCGGAAAAATTCGATCAATATTACCTATTTTTTAGTAATATTGAATCATTTCATCTAAAAGCTTAAAGTTATAAATAGAGGAGGCATTCATTTATTCTCTAAAAACGCCATAGATATATAATTGTTTGAAATGGATAGATCTCACATCCTTTGGTTAAAATTGAGTCATGCAACATAAAGGAAAGTGAAGGTAGATCTCACATTGTAATAAGTAATTATGATGATCAGTAATGCTTCAACACTTTTTCTCAGCTCTAATGACATGTTCAAAAAAATAAAAAAATCTCGTGCATTTATTTATTTAAATTTAGTATTCAACATTGTACACTTATGCAGTTTCGTGAGTGTGGACGTGCCTCTATTTCAATTGATTAGTTGATTTGATTTTTTATGATGGTGCAGGGTGGGGATTGAGACACCGAAAATCGAAGTAAGGTATGAGCATCTTTCTGTGGAAGGAGATGTTTATGTTGGGAGTAGAGCACTGCCCACTTTATTGAATGCTACAGTGAACACAATTGAGGTATTTCAACTGTGTGTATGTGTGAGTGTATGTATAATTAAATTTCTGATCATGGTTGTGTTTTTTGGCCGGGAATGGATGATAGGACATTTTGGGACTAATTTGGCTTGCCCCTAATAAGAAGAGAAAAACTCAGATACTAAAAGATGTAATCGGAATCGTCAAACCAACCAGGTACATATTTGGTATATAGAACTGGAAAATATAATAAACCGAACATGTCATTGGTGTTTCTTATTATTAATAAAGAAATTTGCTCCTCTTCTTACAAATTGTAGTTTAACTTGATGATTTTCAGGATGACACTACTTTTAGGTCCACCAGGAGCAGGCAAAACAACATTCCTGCTTGCACTTGCTGGAAAGCTTGACGATAATCTTCGAGTATGTTTGAGCTTTATATTCGCTTACTTTTAGTAACAATACATTTTTTTTTTCCTGTTATTGATTAGGAATTCTGAACAGAAATCCGGAAAGATTACTTACTGTGGGCATGAACTGCACGAATTTGTTCCTCAAAGAACATGTGCTTACATCAGTCAACATGATCTTCATCACGGGGAAATGACAGTGAGGGAGACCTTTGATTTCTCGGGTCGAAGTTTGGGGGTTGGAACAAGATATAACATTTTGGAAGAACTCTCGAGGCGAGAGAAAGAAGCAGGGATTAAACCTGATACTGAAATTGATACGTTCATGAAAGCCACATCAATTTCAGGGCAAAAGACTAGTTTAGTCACAGACTACGTTCTCAAGGTTTTGCCGTTTCTTTTTTCCTTTTTGTATTAGGCTATTTTATCGAGTTCTGTACTCTGTGAGTGTGGAGTTTAAGAAAAGACTTGGAAGTTTATTAACCTTATTAATATTACAGATACTCGGATTAGATATTTGTGCCGATGTTATGGTTGGCGATGATATGACAAGGGGTATTTCAGGAGGACAAAAGAAACGTGTGACTACTGGTATGTCCAGAATTATACATCTCAAATGCAAACTATTCATGTCATTTTGAAGTGGTCTATTTCTAAATGAGTGGAAGTAGTTAGCTATAGAAATCATAAATGGTGACATTGATTCAAAGAAATTGTATGATGGCACTCTTATAATTTGTTGTGAATTTTCTTAATGAATTCCCTTTTACTCTCTGTTGTACAGACTCATTGTATAAATTTAGTTGCAGAAAAGCTTCTCATAATCAATTCAAAAACTTAAATCTTTTTATTCCAGTTATGTGATGCTAGTGAATGCGCTTCTTGAAATTACAAGATTTCTTAATTTTCCAGAACTACTTTGTTGTTTTTATGCTAATCTATGCTTACTCTACGAGCAGGAGAAATGTTGGTCGGGCCAGCTAAAGCTCTTTTTATGGACGAAATATCGACTGGATTGGACAGTTCGACCACTTTTCAGATTGTCAAGTACATGAGGCAAATGGTTCACATCATGGATGTAACCATGATTATTTCTCTTTTGCAACCAGCCCCAGAGACCTATGATCTTTTCGATGACATTATCTTGCTGGCAGAAGGTCAAATTGCGTATCAAGGTCCAAGAGAGAATGTGCTTGAGTTCTTCGAATACATGGGATTCAAGTGCCCTGAACGGAAAGGAGTCGCTGATTTTCTTCAAGAAGTGACGTCGAAGAAGGACCAAGAACAATATTGGTTCCAAAAAGACAAACCATATAAATATATCTCAGTTTCAGAATTTGTAGAAACCTTCAACTCTTTCCACATTGGTCAAAAGCTTGCTGGAGAACTTAATGTTCCTTATGATAAATCCAAAGCCCATCCAGCTGCTTTGGTGAAAGAGAAGTATGGAATCTCAAATTGGGAACTATTTCGGGCGTGCTTTTCAAGGGAATGGCTGTTGATGACCCGTAGTTCTTTCCTATACATATTCAAGACTGCCCAAATAACACTTATGGCAATTATAGCCTTCACAGTTTTCTTCAGGACAAAGATGCCTCATGGACAATTAACCGATGGAGGGAAATTCTTTGGAGCCCTTTTCTTCAGTCTTATTAATGTGATGTTTAATGGGATGGCTGAACTTTCAATGACAGTCTTTAGGCTTCCTGTCTTCTATAAACAAAGAGATTTCTTGTTCTACCCAGCATGGGCTTTTGGATTGCCAATTTGGATCCTTAGGATCCCCCTATCTTTCATGGAATCTGCACTTTGGATCATTTTTACGTATTACACAATTGGATTCGCTCCAGCTGCTGGAAGGTAAAAATTATCACATGGTTCTGTTTTCTACTGAAATTTATCATTTATTAAATAAGAAATCATTCACTGACAATTCTTGTCCACATGCTCTAGGTTCTTTCGGCAATTCTTGACATTCTTCAGTATACATCAAATGGCCCTTGGTCTATTCCGATTCATTGCCGCAGTTGGAAGAACTCAGGTTGTCGCAGGCACGTTGGGGACCTTCACTTTGCTGGTAGTGTTCGTGCTTGGTGGTTTCATAGTAGCCAAAGGTAAGCTTCTAGATATGTTTTTCGACCTTCAGTAAGCTTCATATCCGTTTTTTATCCCTTGAGACCTTTGTCAATTGTCATAATAAACCAAGAAGTTCATATTTTACCTTAGTTACAATAATTACTCTGATTTATAAGCACGAAATGGACTCATTAGTCCTTAGATCATCAAGTCATTCATTTTCTTTGTTAACCATAGATGACCTCAAGCCATGGTTGAAATGGGCCTATTATGCTTCTCCTATGAGTTATGGCCAGAATGCAATAGTCATGAATGAATTTCTTGACAAAAGATGGAGTACAGTAAGTTTACTCATCCGTCTTTGAACCCCGCCTTTACATTTTACTATTTTTTGCTCCCATCATGTGAAATTCTGCTCCATTAGATGAAGTACCTCATTGAAATTTAAGCTTATTTCTTTCTTCTTCTTTTTTTGTTGTGTGCAGCCAAATATAGACCCCCGATTCAGTGCACCTACGGTCGGAAAAGTCCTCCTCCAGTCTAGGAGCTTCTACACAGAAGATTATATGTTTTGGGTTTGCCTTGGAGCACTCTTTGGCTTTTCAATTCTCTTTAACATTCTATTTATTGCAGCTTTGACTTTCTTAAATCGTAAGGAACATCCCGCGTCAGTTCCAATTCACGTACTTCATAATGGACCTGAAGTTGACAACTTCTCCTGATATGAATTTTCAGCTTTAAGTGATTCAAACACTATTGTATTGGATGAAAATGAGAGCAAAAAGAGGAAAAAGAAGAAGTCAAGTGGAAAAAATGTGACAGGAGCAACTGAAGGTAATGATCCATTTAATCTTTAGCAAATCATTTATTTTTCTTTGATTTTCTATTTTTGTTCATATCTATGAACAATTGGTAATAGAGTTTTCATTTATTTGTCTTGCTTGTATATGGGATCCAGTTTTGAAAGTAAAACCTTCTTTAGCATGTTTCATACACTAGACGGGTACTAATAAGAAAAAGAAAGCTAAATTCTTGTGTATTATACTGTTGAATCCAATTCAATATTGTATACTAAACATACACTCGTGTGTTCTTATTCCTTTAATATCATTGACAATTTAGAATCTCAACTGCATTATTGTAACTGAAAACTGAGCTAGGATTTATTATTCGTTTAAAGTTGTTTCCCTAATTACTTAACCACAGGTGTTGATAAGGAAGTGAAACACGCTTCAACCAGTTCAAACTCGACTGCTGACTCTGCTGATCATGCAACTAAAAAAGGAATGGTCTTGCCCTTCCAGCCTCTTTCACTTGCTTTCAATCATATAAACTACTTTGTCGACATCCCTGGTGTAAGTATCTTGCTTTACAACTTCACTCACTACTCTTTGTATTTCTTTCATTGCTTATGCTTTGACGAAGACTTTCAAAGTGCTAGAAATAAAATGTTAATTTTACATTTTACTAAGAATTTTCTGAAAAATGTGAAGTTTCATCAACTTGACATCTGTGCACTTTTACCAGGAAATGAAAGCTCAAGGGATTGAAGGTGATCGTCTCCACCTATTACGAGATGTCAGTGGAAGTTTCAGACCAGGGGTATTAACAGCACTTGTTGGTGTTAGTGGTGCCGGAAAGACAACCTTAATGGATGTCTTAGCAGGACGAAAGACTGAAGGTTACATTGAAGGAACTATAAGCATTTCGGGTTACCCAAAGAATCAGGAAACATTTGCAAGGATTAGTGGATACTGCGAACAGAACGATATCCATTCACCTCATGTTACAGTTTATGAATCCGTGTTGTACTCTGCATGGCTGCGTCTTCCTTCAGATGTGAAAAAGAACACTCGCGAGGTATGTCATTTATTTAATTGGAAATGTTTCTGTGTGATTCCATTTGACTTGAAGGATCTTCTATTATTATTTGTTGCTCCTTGTGGAGCCTAATTATAGTGTTTGCTCATCCCTCAACTGCAACTCAACCTTGAGGCATTTTTTTTTTTAATATGGAGATATGTTGGGCATTTATCTCTATGTATTAGCTCAGAGAGAATATTCATATGAGGGGGACATATTTGTGTGGCGTGAGAGACAAAAACAGAGAAGTGAGAATCTCCATTAACTTCTTGATTATAGTGAAAAACCTGGAGTGGAGAATGGATATATCTCTCACGTTGAGGGTGAACCATTATAAAAATGTGTATTCTTGTTCATTCCTAATTTCTTTTTCGTTTACTATCCTGGCTGTAGATGTTTGTAGAAGAAGTAATGGAATTGGTTGAGCTAAACCCGATAAGAAATTCGTTAGTAGGACTTCCTGGAGTTGATGGACTCTCGACTGAACAGAGGAAGAGGCTAACAATTGCAGTCGAGTTGGTTGCAAACCCGTCCATCATCTTCCTGGATGAACCAACATCTGGTCTTGATGCTAGAGCTGCGGCCATAGTTATGCGTACAGTGAGAAATACAGTGGATACAGGCAGAACTGTCGTCTGCACAATTCACCAACCAAGCATAGATATTTTCGAAGCTTTTGATGAAGTAAGGTTCCAAGTTCTTATGCGTGCTTGATACTTATGTTTTATTAATATTAACACTCTATTGACTTTCAAAATCTAAAATTCTCTTAGTCGAATTCCACAGTAAATAACATTCATATAAATAATTCCAAGTTTATATTGTTGAATCTTTCATTTCTGATCCCCGACCTATGGCCTATTATTGAGCTTCCAACAGTTACTTTTGATGAAGAGAGGAGGGCGAGTGATTTATACTGGAACACTTGGTCGGCAGTCTCACAAGCTCGTAGAATACTTTGAAGTGAGTAGATACATATGAAGCAAATAGATCGTTTTCACTCATTAAATATTTGAGTTTCGTAAGTTCTTACATGTTTTACTAACTTGCAAGCATATATAATTAAGTATAATTACTTTTATCACGTTGAAGGCTATTCCTGGGGTTCCTAAGATTAAAGAAGGGTATAATCCAGCTACCTGGATGCTGGAAATCAGCGCTCCAGTAGTTGAAGGTCATCTTGGAGTCGATTTTGCAGATATTTATGCCAATTCATCCCTTTATAAGTGAGTAAAACATGAAACTTGAATTTCTATTTTATCAGTAATTTTATCGCATTTTTAAATAACTGGAATCCTCAAAACATTTTTCAGGAGTAATCAAGAACTTGTGAAAGAACTGAGTTCCCCACCACCAGGTTCAAAGGACCTCTATTTCCCAACGAAGTACTCTCAACCCTTTCTTACTCAGTGCAAAGCTTGTTTCTGGAAGCAGTATTGGGGTTATTGGAGGAATCCACAGTATAACGCTATTCGTATTTTCACTACAATTGTCATTGGAATTATATTTGGTGTCATATTTTGGAACAAGGGACCGAAGATGTAAGTTCACGATTTCCTTATTATAGTATGGTTTTCCTTTTAAGGTTAATTCTTGAGTATCATATTCGTATTTGTAAGACATAACCTTCTTGACTTTTACTTGGAATTTCCGTTAATGTACAGCCAAAAACAACAAGATCTTCAGAACCTTTTGGGAGCGATATACTCTGCTGTTCTCTTCTTAGGAGCCACAAATGGTACTTCTGTGCAAAGTGTCGTTTCTATAGAGAGAACGGTGTTCTATCGCGAAAGAGCAGCAGGAATGTATTCACCATTGCCTTATGCTTTTGCTCAGGTATGAAAACAAATTACACTATGAAATCCTTCGTTCACACGCTCCACATTCAAGCCTAACACCAGATGATTATTTAGAAATCCAATTTCATCTTGCAGGTGGCAGTCGAGATAATCTACGTAGTAGTGCAAACTTTTATCTACACCGTTCTGCTCTTCACGATGATTGGATTTGAGATGAAAGCTGTGAAATTCCTCTGGTTCTACTATTTCATCTGCATGTGCTTCATCTACTTCACTCTGTATGGGATGATGTTCATCGCGCTTACCCCAGGTCTCCAAATTGGTTCCATTACAGCATCTTTCTTCCTCAGCTTTTGGAACTTGTTCTCCGGTTTCCTCATTCCTAGGACGGTAAGTCAACTTGCACGATTTCATATTAGAAACCATAAACTAAACATAATCGAGACAAAAACATGTAAACAACAATGCCATGTTTAGTAGTCAAGATGGAATTGATATTCCTGAACACTTAGTCCACATGGGACATGAACTAAACGAACTTATATAACGTTTAAATTACAAACCTGCTGATACGCGTGTTGCCATTACTGCAGCAAATCCCGACATGGTGGAGGTGGTACTACTGGGGTTCGCCCGTGGCCTGGACAATTAACGGGCTTGTGACATCTCAAGTTGGTGATAAATCTACACCGCTTGATGTACCTGGAGCTGGTACTACAACAGTAAAGGCATATCTGAAAGCAACATTGGGCTATGAACATGATTTTCTACCAGTTGTTGCAGTAATGCACTTAGTTTTTGTGGTTTTATTTTTGTTTGTTTTTGCATTTGGCATTAAATTCCTCAACTTCCAGAGGAGGTGAAGAGTGTTAACCTTTCTTTGCTATGATTGTAAGGTTCAAAAAGGCAGATTATAATTGAAAAATTATCACCCACATGAGCTTAATTTATAAAAAATAATTTGATTTTTATTTCAATAATTAATTATAAATCATATTAAATTGTCAAGAATTTTTTTTTTTTTTTTTTGAAGAACTACTGGTACTAACGAAGCCAATCTTGCCAATCTACATGCGATCTAGATCTAACCCGGTCTGGATGAAGGCAAGCCGTTTCGGACCGCTACACTTATTTTAACATTTGTATCTTAATTTCATAACTTATTTCACATTGAATTAAATAATATCAATTACTATTAACTATAGAAATAAATATTTATGTATGTCAGATTCAATTATACCAATCTTATGCAGCCACGTGTTATACTAACATTTCGACTAAGAATTATTCTACTTGTACAAATAAGTGGGCAATTTTTTTGACAAAACGCCACATGACGACCCCTTATTGGTGGGGGGCCTGGTGTCAAATTATTTTGTACAAGTAGCATGGTTGTTCTACTAAAGTAGGTGACTACTGACCCAAGGAATCAAATTTGTCGGATATTGTAACACCAAATGCAGGCAACTGAATCTTAATATCAGATTCTCAACTTTAACTTTAACTTTAAATTGAAATTTTTTTAATCATGTCAAATACATATACATCACTTTCACCATTTAAATAAAATTATGATTTTCTAGAAAGATTTTTTTTTCTTAAGAGTTAAAAAAACAAAATAAGTGAGTATAATTTACTTATAAGTAAAATTTAATAATGCAAAAACATGGTTGAAAGAAAAACGGAAACGTTCTCTTCGTATTTCAATTTTGTGCTTTGAGTTTTGAATTTTGTATTTTGAGTGTCCATTTTGAAATTGTAGAAAATGTGTTATTTTTATCATTTTGAAAAATTGTTTTCAAAATTAAAAAACTCAACATGTTCTCTTCCCAACCCCTCCCCCCTCACTCCTGTCTCTTCCCAACCCCTCCCCTCTCTCTCATCTCTGTCGACGTCGGCAACAATCGGATTGATTGTGCAGTGCCATGCTTGGAGCGGATTGTTGGCGGCAGTTGCTCAGCCGTGCGCGACGCTGCAGTTCTTCATTTTTTTATTTTTATTTTTTGGGCAATGGTGGTTCTGCTGCGATTTTTTGTTGGTGGTGGTGTAGTGGTGTTGTAGCGGGAGCGACGGTGATCGTGGGTTTTGTTGACGGTGGTGGGTGGGTTTCCTTTTTGGGTAGTGGATGGGTTTTGTTGGTGGTGGTGGGTAGGTTTTGTTGTGGCGGGGACAATGACGATGGTGGGTTTCCTTTTTCGTTGGCGGTGGTGTAGTGGTGTTTATCTTGAAAGGTTGGGTCGCAATGGTGCAGTGATGGTTGGTGGTGGTCGCGGGGTGCAGTGGTGGTTGGCGATGGTAGAATTTTGAAAACACCCAAAACGCATTTTGAAACTTTTGGCTTGATTTTAACTGAAAACACCTGAAACGATATTTTTGTCGTTTTCGATTTTCTTTGTAAATTTTAAACTCGTTTTCGAAAATTCGATTTTGAAAATAAGTAAGTAAAAGTATTTTCACCATTTTAGAAAATCGAAATAAACAACGGACTGAAAACGATAAAGAGAACAACCCCTTATTTCTCAAGTGAAATATGCTTGCTCGAACATTTATACCTCCTTGTGCATGCTATCGAGCCTAAATAAAATAGAACTGGCCGGTTCGGCTCAGTTCATCTCCTAAATGGATCGATTTTGGGACCATACATCGAGAATCAATAGATTTCGGTTCGATTCTTGGTGCTGCTTTGAGAACCAACAGTGAATTCAGTTCTTCTGAATTTCTCTTTTTACTTTCATCAAAATGTACTAGATCTTTAAACATTAGACACCAAAATTATTTCATGTTAAAATTCCATTTCATACGCTTCTTCTTCTTTCCTTTAATGGGAAACTGAAATTCAAGTCTAAATAATTTTATAAATATTTTACAAATTCATAGTTTTAGTGCAACACAATATGAAAAATATATTTTTAGTTCAATATTTCATAAGAATTTAAGTTTATCATTATTCTCAAAGTGTCTGCCATCAAGAATCACGATTCTTAAGAATTACAAAAAATAATCGGAGCTATTGTTATATGAATTTTTTAAAAATTGAGATTTTACCGTTTATGTTGTGTTTAATAGTTAATATTTTTTCACTTTTATAAGTTGATCTTGAGCTTTAAAGTTGATTTTTTGTTTGTTGTCTTGTTTAATAATTTTTTTGTATTGTTAGATTACAAGAATGACAAGTGGTTATATGCTTCTTCTTCTTCTTCTTCTTCTTCTTCTTTTTTTTTTTTTTTTTTTTTTTTTTTTTTTTTTTTTTTTTTTTTTT